TAGGAGAACATATGTGTATGACAGTGATGGAAACTTTCTGAAACATAAGTTCTTTCCACTTGTGTCCTAAACATTCTTTCAGAAAGAAACAAACTCTTCCATAAAGATTAAAATCACCAACTTTCATTTTAATGTCTTGTTCATTCTTTTTCCCCACCCCCAGATAGAATTCTTCACACACAAAGACATTGATAAAGATGCATGCATGAAATTATTTTCTTATTTGTGAGTCATCGGGTAGACAGTAAGAATTTAAAATTTCCACTCTTTTCCTCCTCCAATAGTGTTTAGCTTGATTTCTAAACCAGCACCCATGTCTCCAATATTCTGTAATATTCCCTGGATATCTACAACACATTTTTCTTTAAAAACTCAGCTCAATAATATGGTGTCGAGGGAGTTAGAGGTTAATGGCTGTGCAAGTATATATATGGCAGAGTTGTGACGTCTTTTAAACAATACCTCGAGCACCTGACCTAGTTGCATTCAGCCCGCTGTTTCTCTACCAGGAATCTCAGGTATCAAAGGGCACACAAACGTGGGACTACTTACGATTTTTGTTGTAGTTAGTACTGAGATTAATTGTAGAGTCTTTATGAATTGATTATAGTCTCAGAAATCCACAGATTTAATTACATACACACATTTGAAGGTTTAAGTTTTGTAAAAGATAGGTGAGGGGGGTTGGAGAATGTTAATTCACCAGTTTTCAAATTGTAATTCAGTGCCTCTTTCCATTATGAATATAAACATTGTCGTTATTTTGCCAACCCAGCAGGGATTATTGGCTCTGTTGAAGTGGAAGTCAGGTATGATCCACAACCATGATTCACAAGAAATGGAACAGCTAGAGAATGATTCTGTATTGTGGTCAGACAATCATGCTTTTTAGCTGCCCTCCCATTGATCTCTGAATGAGAATCTAATTTACTTGCTTTTATTCCAGACAGAGTTATTTGTGCCTGTTTCATCCACTTTATAGGGCAAAACACAGCTGGAGGAACCCACTATCCTATTGACAAAAGACTTTGGATGGTAATATTGAAGATCATCTAGTGAGAAGCCATGAGGCTTGGAAATGAGAATAGAGAACAGACAATATTAAACTGTACACAGGAAATAGAAGGTTAGCTAATAAATTGCCATTGATTTACGTGTACAGTTTTAAAAATTTCCACCATGAACTAGTGGAGTGAAAAGAATAATTTCAGCATTTCTATTATTTTGCTTATGGAAAACCTTAGCAACCCTGGAGATGAAACAATTTAATGCAATCAGCATAAACTCCACTGTTAATTCAACCATATCATTTACTGTTTCTCAAAGTGATCTTGATCCAATCTTTATTTATTTAATTTCCATTTTGTCTGACATTAATAATTCCCAACTGATTTGGGGCCAATTGTTTTTATTCTTAGTATATTTCCTTCACCAAATAATCTTTATGCACACTTTGTGTATGGTTTGCTTTGCACTTTTTTATTATTTAAAATATATTTTTAATTTTACATGTATGTACTGATAGCATAAATTTGTATTTAATATATCTGTGAAATATGACCAATTGAAGGATATTCTAATTAATTTATCCTTATTGTCCAAACCAAAACATATTCATTGTGAGCTGACTTATTCAATTTCCTCTCTTTTGAAAATTCCTTTTGATTTATCTATTTTATGAGAGAAAATTATTTTCTTTAGAAATTTAGATTTTATGTTGATTCATGAAATAGACAGCATCATTTTATTTCTTCTGGTGGTTCCCCTTATGCTTTCCAAAACACATATTGCTTAGGCTACAATATAATAATTCTTAAAAGCTTATTATGAAAATCGAATTATTTCTACATTAATTTGTACATTCATTCAAAAACATCCATTCAGATCTAATATGTGCAAAATGTCTTGGTAAAAACTTCAAATAGAAATGTAAATACAATATTTCAAAATATTAGAGGTTTGGATAAACTGTGATTGATTTAAGAATATAAATAGGTCTTATAATACCTACTAGTAGCCCGGTGCATGAAATTCATGCACATTAAAAGGGAATTAATTGCCCTAACTGGTTTGGCTCATTGGATAGAGCATCAGCCTGCGGACTCAAGGGTCCCTGGTTCAATTCTGGTTGAGGGCATGTACCTTGGTTGTGGGCACATCCCCAGTGGGGTGTGTGCAGGAGGCAGCTGATTGATGTTTCTCTCTCATCAATATTTCTAACTCTCTATCTCTCTCCCTTTCTCTCTGTAAAAAATCAATAAAATATATTTTTTAAAAAGGAATTAATTAGCGGAGGTATTTTAATATTGCTATTTGCCCTTTCTCTATAATAAAATTGTGAGAGATGAAAGGAAATTAGAAAAATGTATATGAAAATAATATATAAATTTATTAATAAATAAACAGTAACAAAAGGATATAACAACAGAGGCATGATATAAACATGACAAAAACATGATATGAAAACAAAAACATGATATGAAAACAACAAAATCATGATATAAAAACAACAGTGATGCAAACAATGACTGATAAAGTGATTAAACCTATTCTAATATCTCCATTAAGAGTGAAAACACTTTCAAAGTGTTTGACTAATTTCCCTTGTGATGAAGTATTTAGAAGTTTAACTTTAATGTCACATGCTCTTCAAACTCGAGAGAAAGCAGCATATAACTGACCATGTGCAAAAACAGGTTCAGGTAGGAACATGCCTGCTCTGTCTAGAGTTTGTCCTTGTGATTTACTAATAGTCATCACAAATGCTGGTATCACGGGACACTGTCGTCAAATCAATTTAAATGGGAGGCCAGTGTGAGATGGGGAAAAATTAATTCTTGGAATCAGAACAACCTCTCCCTCTGCAGATCCTGTTAATACTTCAGCTTCGATAATGTTAGGTCGTAATCTTTTGATAAATCTGGTACTATTACAAAGACCCCATTTACTATTGAGGTTTCTCAATAGCATGATGATTGCACCCACTTTCAATTTTAATTTATGACACGGCATTCCCGAATGAGTAATACTATTAAGAAATTCGATGAGAAAATTTTCCCTTTCAGCATCATCTGTGGAATCAATGGAATCATCACTCAAATATGTGTGAAAATCTCCATTGAGTATATCCAAATTTTCTTCACTTAATTTTTGAACATGCTCATTTTTTGGACAAAGAATTACATGTTTACATATATTTTTAATATTATCTATAGCAGTGGTTCTCAACCTTGGCTGCACATTAAAATCACCTGGGGATCTTTTTAAAATCCTGATTCCTGGGCCCCATCCTCCAGAAATTGTTTCTTTGTTATGGGGTTGGGCCACAACATTAGTAACAAACAAACAGAATTTCTGGAGGATGAGGCCCAGAAATCAGGATTTTAAAAAGATTCCCAGGTGATTCTAATGTGCAGCCAAGGTTGAGAGCCACTGATCTATAGATATAGTATTTCCAAAGGTAGCCTCAATAATAGATCCATTACAAATCATTTCACTTCCACGCTCAGCTCCAAGGGCAGGTTCCTGCCTGAAATCTTACCCTCCAGGGGTAGGGGTAGGGCTGGGGTAGGGCTCAGCCATTTCCAAGACTACCCCTGCAGGACCGACTTCCTTCAGGTTGGTTGTGCTATGATGCTACACCCAGAGTTTTTATACAAGTAGATTGTTACACTTTAAAAAAGGGGATTGATCCATCAATAAATATATTCCTTTCCTATGAAACCTGCCACTGTTCCAATTACATCATGTTAACAAGATTTAAAGGGTAACTTTCTATCCTCCCTGAAGGGGAACTGAGACTTCCTTACAAAGATAATGATTGCAGCTAGATTCAGTGGTGGGAATGCACAAAAGAAAATAAAGGGTTGCTAAATCATCAAGCTAAGAAATGCAGTATAATGTGAGAATGAATAGCAAATAGCAACAGTAAAGAACTCTAATCTGGCAAAATGCTAACCATGCTTCAGGTCTAAGAGCCTTTGCCTTTTCCTCTTTGAAAAACTTCTGAGCTCCTACACATTTTTGCTTCGTTACTATTCTGTCCATTCCTGCATGACTCAGTTTGTGATGATACTACATCAGTCTTTGAGGAGCATTATAATTATGTCTTCCTTGGGTCACTTTGCTGTTTCCAAAATAGTTGCTTGTTGAAATATATAACCTTTCATCTTTCATTGTGAACAGAGATAAAACAGGGATAACAGCTGAGTCAGTAAACACTTCATATCTCTGATTCAACCACTGTTGTAATATTAACATTATTGATGTATTCTCCAAAACTGTTGATGATATTAAAATAAGTTCTTTTCAATAGTCTCTTTACAATGTTATCTAAGTGTTCCCATGCATAAATTTCTCTACTCTCAATTCTATACATTAAGGTCCTAAATAAAGTCATTCTTTAGCAAAACTAAAGGTAAGAGGCAAGGCCACACATCAGATCACTTTCACATTGTCCAGTTTCCATGACTTACAATATGGAAGGGAATGAACAAGGCCCTGATAGCTCTAATATTCTAACCCATAATTATAAGAGGGTAAAGATAATGTGACCGGCCTTGTATAGTTTGGGTGGTGATTAATTGTGTTAACAAAAATGCCCTATTGCAGTTCCTGCATCATTAGAAATATCCAATAAAGTTAGTGCAGAATGAGAATGATGAAGATTAATAATGAAGAATCCTCATTTCAATGAAGTGTTTACCAGAAGGAAAGGAGATTTGGAGGTGGTAAAAGTTAAAAAGGGTCAAATACATGATGATGGAAGGAGATTTGACTTTTAATGGTGGGAACACATGCATTATAAAATAATATATCACAGCAGTACAAACTGGAAACCTATATAATCTTAACAAATTTAATTAAAAATAAAATAATTACCATGAAAAAATAAAAATAAAATTTAAAGATTAAAAGTTCTAATTGTCTTTTACTTCTCTTCAAATATTATCATATTCTTTAAAATTATAATCTTTAATATTTTTTTCTCTTATTAAAGAATGTTCCAGAATCTCAAAGCCTCCAACATCTCTAATATCCAAGTCTCTGAATTTATTCTAATGGGATTCCCAGGCATTCACAGCTGGCAACACTGGCTCTCCTTGCTAGCCATTTGTCAACCACTACGCTATCCATCAATAATTACTGAATCTTTTGTGGTCAAAGCAACTGTGTTCATGGCACTCAGAAACACCATATGTACCATCCCAGTGCCTATATTGGCTGCTCAGAGACACTACTGCTCCCAGAGCCAAATAGAACACTGTCTGTGTTCAAATCTCGGTGTCACTAGTCTATCCTGTGATGACAGAACCATCAACAGCATTTACCAGCTTATTCTGGCCTGGACACTCATGGGAAGTGACTTGGGTTTGATTATTTTATCATATTGTTTGATACTTCACTCTGTGCTGAAGCTGAACTCAGCAGAAGCTGCGTCCAAGGCCCTAAGTACCTGCACGTCCCACCTCATTCTGATCTTATTCTTCTATACAGTTGTCATTGTCATTTCCATTACCCATAGTGCTGCCATGTCAGTTCCCATCATTCCAGTGCTACTCAATGTACTGCACAATGTCATTCCTCCTGCCCTCAATCCCATGGTGTATGCTCTCAAGAACAAGGAGCTGAGGCAGGGTTTATATAAGGTTCTTAGAGTACACATCAAGAGCAACTAATGCATAGAGGATGCTTCTTTTTCCCATCTCTCCAGATACATACTGAATGTAATACCTAGTAAGTGCTTAATGGTAGGATAACTAAAGAAAAGAGGCACTGTTTCAGCTTTCAGTTATTATAACGTATCAGTGGCAGCAACTAAAACATAAAGTTGGTCAAATTACTAGTATATATTGACAGAAGAATATTGACTTTAAGTGGTGGGCGCACAAGGCAATACACAGCTGATGTATCATAGAATTGTACCCTTGAAATCTGTAAAATTGTATTAACCAATGTCACCCCAATAAATCTAAAAACAAAGAAAGAAAAAATGGTGACACATTTGAAATTTTGGGTTTTCAACAAAATCTTAATCAAAATCAGTAACATTATGTTGCCTGTTCTCTCAAGGACTATAAAGGAAATGCAATGAAATACTATTTGAATTTTCTTTTTATTTTATATAACTTGTCTTTCTATGCCTCTTCTGCCCCCCTTTTTTATTCTGTAATGTCTTTCTCCATTTCTTAGTTCACAAGAATGAAAATACTTATTGCCATAATTGATTATTCATTAGCTCAAGACATTTTATAATCAGTTGCAATAATTCTTTTTCTTATTACAAATGCCCATGAAGCATTTTTATTATTAAGATTTGTTTGGGAAATACTTTCTGAAATAATTAACCATTGTCCAAGAGTGATATCCTTTATATGTTACTCCATAAGGGGAATAAGTATGCATTTGGATTCCAGTAAAAGAGAATTTAAAATCATAAGAATAGTACACATTTATTTTATAATTAAATATTGCAATGTAAATGTCTAGAAAATAATCTTTATGAACATCAACATAAATAGATATCTTTACAATTTAATAAAACTTTAAAAGAGTTTATATTTTCATATTTTGGACTTATATTTAGAATTCTTCAGTACTTAGGGATTGTGTAATTGTAAGGTGATTGTCTCTGGTACCATGTTGATAAACAGGGGAGCATTGAAAGGGCATTTCCCAGAAAGATCAGGAATGTTACTGAGGAATGTGGGCAATAAGAAAGCAAAATGAATGAAGCATTTAATGCAATTTGTATTTAGTGGGGATGCACTCTTATAATTTTACTGTTTCTAACATATACGAGTATAGCAAACATTATGAATAAAGAATTATCAGGACTCTTCTTCTGTACTGCCAATGCCATGATAACGCTATTCTTTAGAAATTCTTAGTGATTATAACCAAAATAACTTAGTCATGTTCAGGAATAAATTTCATGTCATTTCTAAAGGCTTTTATTCTTCTATCCCAGAGTTCTCACTTTTTCATGGAGGCTTCATCTACTTGAAGCCATCCTCCCTATTCAATCCAATATTGTATGGGGGCTTCTTTAAGTCATTTTAGAGCCAACTCAAATCTGTTTTTAATTTACTGTCTTTTGTTAATTTACCCTGACACAATTTTAACAGTTGAAGTGACATATTGTAAACATGCTGCTGATAAATTGAAAAAGATAGAAATTGGCGTAACAGGGTCTAAATGAAATGTGAGCAATGAAATATATTATAAAAACTCACAAAGATGCTGAGGGAAGGCAGGGGGTGGGGGTGGAGGTAAGAGATCAACCAAAGGACTTATATGAATGCATATGAGCATAACCAATGGACACAGACAGGGGGGTGGGGGTGAGGGAATGTGCTGAGGGTTGGGGATGGCCGGGAGAGATCAATGTGGAAAATGGGAGACTTATATAATACATTAAACAATAAAGAACTTAAATTTTAAAAAAACCTCACAAAGAAATTAATAACATTTTTTTTCTTAAAAATTGCTACAATTTACCATATTAAACTTTACTGACACCTCAAAGAGCATTTGTTTTTGTGATTTATATCTGTAAATATGAACTGTGTTCAAAATTAAAACAGAAAAATTTTAAGTGTTTATTTTTAAAAATGTTTTTAATTTTTATTACAAGTATTACTGTAATTAAATACTGACATTAGTTTCAGGAGTATAATATAGTGATTAGACATTTATATAACTTATGAAGTGGTCATCTCAATAAATCTCACTTGTTCATTTATTTTGTTTTTTAGATTCCACATAGTATGTGTTAGTCTTTCTCTTAGTATAATACACTCGAGGTCCATCCATGTTGTCCCAATGTTTACTCTTTTATGCCTGAGTAATACCCCATTGTGTATTTGTACCACTTCTTTATCCATTCATTATTGATGGACGCTTTAATTACTTCCAGATCTTGGCTTTTGCAAATAATGCTACAATGTGCATATGGGTGCATATGTCTTTTCAAATTAGTGTTTTAGGTTTCTTTGAATAAATACCCAGAAGTGAAATTGCTGGATCCCTCTTCATCTCTTGTTTTAGTCGTTGTTTTAGTGTCTATTTTGTCTAGTATAAGTATTGCTACTCAGCTTTTTTGTTGTTATTCCAATTTCATGAAATCTTTTTCCACCCGTTTATTTTGTCTGTCTATGTGTTTTGATCTGAAGTGAGTCTCTTATAGGCAACATATATAAGGGTCTTATTTTCTTATCCATTTGGTTCTCAACCTGTGGGTCGCGACTCCTTTTGGGGGTTGAATGACCCTTTCACAGGGGTCACTGAAGACCATTGGAAAACACATATGTAATTACATATTGTTTTTGTGATTAATCACTATGCTTTAATTATGTTCAATTTGTAACAATGTAATACAGTTCCTCACCACAACACGAGGAACTGTATTAAAAGGTCGCAGCATTAGGAAGGTTGAGAACCACTGATTTAGCCACTCTATGTGTTTTTATTGGACAATTTAAACCATTTATGTTTAAAGTAAATTATTAATAGATATGTGTTTTTTGCCATTTTATTATTCCTTTAACATTTCTTGTAATATTGGCTTGGTGGGAAGCAATTTATTTGTCCTTCAATTTTAAATGATAGCGTTTCTGGGTAGAGTAATCTTGCTTTTCATCACTTTGAATATTCTGTGCCTATCCCATAAGACCAGCAAAGTTTCTATTGAGAAATAAGCTGACAGTTTTCTGGGAGCTCCCTTGTAGGTAACTTACTGCTTTTCTCTTGTTGCTTTTAAGATTCTCTGTTTAGCTTTAACCTTTGGCATTTTAATTATGTTGTGTCTTGCTGTAGGCCTTTTTGGGTTCATTTTGTTTGGAACTCTCTGCATTTCCTGAACCTGTATGTCTATTTCCTTCACCAGGTTAGGAAAGTTTGACATCATTATTTCTTCAAACAGGTTTTTAACTCCTTGTGCTCTCTCTCTTCTCCTTCTGGTGTGCCTATAATGTGAATGTAGATATGGTTGATATTGTCCCAGGGGCCCTGTAAACTATCCTCATTTTTTATTAATTCTTTTGTCTTTTAGCTGTTCTGATTGGGTGCTTTCTGTTATTCTACTTCCAAATCACTGTTTTGGTCCTCTGCTTCATCTAATCAACTGCTGATTCCCTTTAATTTATTCTTCATTTCAGTAATTGTATTCTTCATTTGTGATTGGTTGTTTTTTATGTTTTCTTTCTCCATTTTTATATTTCCTATCGCTTCATTGAAGTTCTCACTGAGATCATTGAGTATTCTTATAACTCTACATCTGGTTAGAGTTAGATTGCTTGTCTTCCTTTTTTGTAGTTCTTTTTCTGGAGTTTTGTTCAGTTCTTTCATTTCAGGTGTGTTTCTTTGTCTCCTCATTTTGGCTACTTCCCTCTTTTGTTTCTACATTTTAGATACAGCTGCTATATCTCTTAGTTTTGGTATAATATCCTTATGTAGTAGATGTCATATGGGCTAGTGGTGTAGTCTCTATGGTTCCTTGAGCCAGGTGCTCCAGGTGTGGGCTATGTCTGCCTTCCTGTTGTAGTTGAGCTTTGATTATTGTTGGTACATCAGTGGAAGGGACTGACTCCCATGTTAGTTGGTTATGAGGCCTGGCCATACATACAATGGAGGAGTGTTGAGGAGGATTTGCTTTAGTGGGGCTCAGGTACCTGTCCAGTCCCCACTTTGGATGGTGTTGTTTGTGGAGGTTGTTTGACGATGCTCTTGTGTGATCTAAAGTGGACCCCATGTGTATTGGTTCTAGTACCTCTTGAGAGGAACTCTGGTGCAGGCCAAGATCAGCTACTGCCTGAGCCCTGATCAAGGCCGCTTGGTATTAGTTACAAAGCAGAAGGTTTCTATTTGTTCTGGAGTTGGAGGTGCCTGGGAGAGGTTAAGCAGTGAACTGAGGCCTGCTACCACTTGTGTCCAGTTTGGGTATGCTTAGCAAGAGGTAGGTACATGTAATGCTAAGGCCAGATTCTGCTTGTTTAGGATTTTTGAACCTCCAGCCGTCACTCTGAACCCAGACAATTAAGTTCCTCCTCGTATGTCCCTGGCACCTTTTAAGCTGCTGCCCCAGCACTAGAGCTCAGAGAAAGTGAGTCTGAATAAGGTTGAACATGGGTCCACTAAGAAAAATGCATGGGTCTCAGCAGAACTCCATCTTATTCATCCACAATCTCCACTGGTTTTCACAGCCAAAAGTTATGGGGTCTCTGCTTCCTGGCACTGGAACACTGGGCTGGGGGACTGATGTGGGACTGAAATCCCTCATTCCTCAGGGTTGCACTGCTTTAGCTGAGATACCCCTTATGATTTTTAATTGCCACACATAGGTGTGAGACCATAACTTCTCTCATCTCCATTCCTCCAGTCTTGTCATGGCTAGGGCTTCTGTTCAACTAGACTTTAGGTGGTTCTCAATAATGGTTGTTCTATAGTTTAGTTGTAATTTTGATGTGGTTGTGGCAGGAGGTGAGTATAGCATTTACCTACTCTGCCATTTTGACCAGAAGCCTTCCTGTTCAAATTCTTTTTTAAAAAATATTGCCTGGGGTGTGACATTGTTATTTATTTTTTATTTTATTTCAGAGAGGAAGGGAGTGTGTGTGAGAGAGAGAGAGAGGGATAGAAACATCAATGATGAGAGAGAATCATTGATCAGCTGCCTTCT